CTTATAGAAGTAATTAGCTTTACTCTTCTTATACTTAAGCTCTTTCTTTAGCTTATTAAGGTTATCTTTATTAGTATTCTATATATTCTTAAGCTTACTAATAGTGTTATAGTATATATTACTAGTAGTATAAAGTTTATAGATCTTAGCTTAGAGAGTAAGGTAAGCTAGATAGTTATTAATCTTCTTAGAGTTCTCTAATAATACGTCTTTACTCTTTAGCTTACTAATCTAATCTTCTAAGTTATAAATATAGTTAAGCTTTTTATTATATAGTTATTATAGAATAGTAGATAGTAGAAGTTATACTTATTTAGTAAGAGTATTATATCTCTTAGTAAGAAGTCTAATAGCTATTATAATATAGATAAGCGTAGCGTAAAACTACTATAGAAACTTAGTAATAGCTTTACTAAAGTAGATTTTATTACTAATCTTAATGTATAGGTATAGTTTAGTAACTATCTTAGAGTTAATACCTTTTTTAAGGTCTTAGCCTATTATAATAGTATAGCTAGTAGCGTAGTTATTATTAGTATAGAGATAAAGAGTTTAAAGCTCTAGCTACTATCTAGACTTAAGTAATATATAAATAATCTCTAAGTTATTAGTAGTAATAATTTTAACGTAGTTGTCTAGAATATTAAGTTTAATATATTAGGTATTATAAGTTATAAGCTCTTCTAGTTTAGTATTAGTTACCTCTTCTATAATAGAAGGTAGAGAGTATAGGTCTAGAAAGCTACTTTAGTAGTAGTTAGATTACTAGATTTTGCGTAGCGCTAGTACCTAGACTATAGTATTTTAGGTATCTTAGGTGTTGTAGTTTTATAAGCGTAAAAGTTGCTATAGATTTAATATACTTAATACTAATATAGTATTAGCTATAGAAATAAAGGTAGTAAGTTACTTATAGACTATAGTCTACTTCTAAGTAGACTATATTTACTTAATTATTTATAGTTATTATACGTCTTAGTACTTAATATATAATATATAGATTTACTATAACTACTTACTCTAATTAAAGTAAGCTAATTCTCTACCTATTATGTTATAACTTTAGTAATAGAGTATATTAATATTTATCTTAATAGCTGTCTTACTAAGTACTCTAATAAAGAGCTTCTAGTAGTATCTATTAGTTACTCTACTTCTATATTCTTATATTCTAGGTTATAAGTAGCGTTACTAATTATTACTTAAGCGTTAGGCTTACTTCTAATTATAGAATAGTGTTAGTAATACTATAGACTTACTTATTTAATAAGCTTTATAAGTTAAGAGGTTATAATTACTTATTACAAAGTTATAGTAGTAGAGAGAATATAAGTATCTATATTCTAGATATAGAGCAACGCAGAATAGTATAAAGATATAATATAGTAAGTTTAATATATAAGATTCTGCGTATAAGTCTATATATAGAAGTAAGTAAATATTTAATATTTCTTACTTAATTAGCGCTAGGCCTAATTAGGTAGAGATTATAGGTTTAATCTACTACACTTTTAGATATTTTTCTAGAGTAGTAGTATTAATAGTAATAGTATTAAAATACTTAGTATATACTTATATCTTACTTTTTTTAAGTTTTAAATATATTTTTTTAAAGTTAATAAAAGTCTTTTTATTATAAAATTACTAAACTTAAGTAAAGCTTAAGTTTGTATAGAAGTTAAAAACTTAATTTAAAAAAGTAAGTAAGTTATTAAAAATAGAGTTAATAACGCTATAAAAGCCTACTAAGCTAATAAAAGTAAGTCTTAATAAAAAAGATATACTAGAGTATAGAACTTAGAGATAAGAGTTCTTAAAATTATATAAAATAAGAATATTAGTTTTATTAAAAGTATTTATTATATAGTAATAGCTTTAAAAGTAGAAGTTTATTTAGAAAAGTTCTAATATAGTATAAGTAGTAGTAAATATATAAGAAGATATACTAACTTATATATAAAAATATATAGTATTTCTACTTTATAACTTACTTTATAACTTATTTTAATAGTTCTCTAACTAATAAGCTATAGTTATATTACTATTTTATTTAAATTTTAAAAAAAATAATAAAGTAATTATATTACTTATATAGTAATTTTTTTAAAATAAGCTACTTACTAAAGTATTAGTAGCTAAGCTAGAAAGGCTTAGTGTACTTTTATATATACCTTAGATAAAGTACGTGTTAAACTTTAATTACAACTTATTCTAAGATACCTAGTAGAGGGCTATTACTTATTTAAGACTTAATTTTTTTTAAATCTAAGATACCCTAATAACGCTGTTAGTACTAAAACACTCTATCGTACAGTTGCTGCAATTGCTCCACGTCGTTCATGGGAATCTCCTGTTGCATTCAACTATAGTGCTATCCGCCATTGCATTACTCATTGCGCCGGCACCAACAGCTTCCTTCGCTCAACAAGTTGGATGTGCGTTACGGAACTTGTAGCCGGCGACAAGAGCGGCTATATGAAAAGCCTGGCCAACTACAGCGCAGACATGATGAATCTGGTGAGAATGGCCCCAAATATCAAATGAGCCTGGGCTCAGTCTCTCTGGAAACCTATCGACGAAACATGAAACCCCGAGCACAAGGACCAAGATCTCGCAAAGATAATACTGAGCGCCGATCTCAGCACACGCACGACTCCATCCAAGCTTGCCGACGCCATGGAATATTGGGAGCATTGCTGTAAGAGCGAGCGCACTGAAGATACTGCCACGAAGCGTTCTCATCTTGTCTCCACCGCCGCCACTATTGAACAGCATGGCAGCAGCAGCGATAGCGGCGCCGCCATTGAGACACCAATATACCCGTTGAGCCACTGGATCACAGCGAACGGCATAATAGCTGGCCGATGATCCACCGCCCATAGCTAAGAGACAGATGCCGAAGATGTCGAAACGGCCCCAGAGATGGTGAATATTGTAGGAGTGACTCCGAAGTGTGTGGAACGTTGTGCTGAGCCCAAAGCAGAGAGCTGTTGCGCTTAAGGAAATACTGAAGGCGAATTTGTCGCCTGTGCTCAGGTCAAGCTTGGTCGAGATAGCAAGTGTGTGTAACCCGATGCCAGTCCCAACGAACGCTGTACTCCCAAGAAGGTGGGTCCAGATATTCATCGTTTCCATATGAAGGCAACGCCAGAGCCGAAAGGATCGTTTGTACGAATGAGTCGGCATTGGATGTCCCGTGATAATGAAGCCGTTATCTTGGAGCCATGTCGGAATGTCGTCTTTGGTTCCGATTTTAGGCCAATATGGCTGGGCTTCTTTCTTATCGTGGAGTGTTGGGCAGGCGTTGGAAGCCGGTGAAGTGGTATTGGGTGAGCGTACTGCGTCCTTGGCCATATTGGTAGCTTCAATGTGTCGCGACTCCAGCGCTGGAGTTGTTGTCCAAACAGGTATATCATTATCAAGATACAGATGCCATTGGTTGTGGTGTCGAATACAGGCAACAGTTGTGTAAGAAGAATACGTGGAGTCAAACACCTGAACTGCTTGGGCCTGATGTGTCTGAGCAGCGTTTGCACCTACCACTCGTTACTAGATATGTGAAGGGCGTTCGTTGACTCAGTTGAACTCCAACGTATCTCGGTGTGCAGTATCATCGCGGCGCAGCCTCCCAGGGCTACAATTCCTCGCTAATCCAAGGCTTCTGTGATCATATATGTAGGTAAGATGCCACGATCTCTGGTGTCGACTTGGTCAGTATCAGGTATGCTAACAATGCTGTAGCTACCGAGCAGTCCTACGCATGCAGCTATGATGTCACCGGTTTTGTGAACAGCCATTGCGGGGATTCCCTAACGATCCTTCTGCCAACATTTGTACAAACGGAGAAATTGCGTCCCTTTGTCTGGGGAAAGCTTACGCTCTCTCCGCGTGATTGCGTGGGAAAAGGTTGCACGATAGTGGAGATTTCTTTGAGTTAGACAAATACCAGTCGGACTGTATGGCGTTCGACGTGGCTATGCTGATCCTCATTAGGAACATATCCTTGGAGCTCTAAGCGTATAACTTGCGAAGTCGCATGTTTTCCCTTAAAATCTGACGTCCATAATGCGTGGAAGTCTTGTCGAACGTATGCCTTCAAGATGCTTCTGGTGCCAACCTGAGCAGATCGCAAGCCGTGCTCACTAATCAACAATCACTGTTCAGAAGGCCCTGCTGAACAAGGCCTCATAGTGATCATAATATCACAGAGATGCCCATGGGCAGTTCAAAAGTCGTCAGATATCGAGTCTTGCCCGTATGGCGACTGCGAATTACGGATGTGTGACAATTGCCGGTGATGGTGCGTGCGTGAGTTGCGCGGGCAGTGGATACAAAACGTGCAGTCGGCCTTTTTCTCGGCAAGACCCACCAGACTGGATAATCACGAAGCCATCAGACTGCAATGAACTCCATTCAGACACCTATGCATAGAAATTGCGTCGAATTCAATGCATGGAGTCAGCGTTTGCATAAGGTCTGACGTCATGGCTAACGTACCTGCCACGCACAGAGTGCACTGGCCATGCCGCTGCATCCGCCGACCACTCGAGGCATCCAAAGCTGGTTGCTTCATCACTTATAGCACATTGGCCTATCCGCCAATAAGGAGCAGACCGCACCTTTAGCTTGTACTTTGATCCAAGCTCTCGCACTCCCGGTTGTTAGGAATGTCATCGTCTTCTCTCAGAGATATCGCGCCGCGTCCACAAGACTTGGCTGCTGCCGCCGCTGTTAGTAGAGCAACTCCTACCAGTCGCAGGCCGTCACGCGTGACAGTCGCATGTCTGCCCTGCCGTGGCCGACGCACCAAGGTCTTTCACCGAATTCTTTGCTAGTAACGACAGCAATTCCGTGAAGTCAAAGCTGACACACGACAGTGTGACGGTGGCAGACCGACATGTCGCTCTTGCTCGGAGAGAAATTCACAATGCGGATACGACCCACCGCTCATTCAGGCGCAAAAAAGAAAGATTGAAGAACTGGAGGACGATAAAAGTTCGATGTATGAGGTTTTGTGGTATCTACAGACGGCTTCACCTGACAAAGCCACGGCCTTGCTGCAGCACCTGCGGGCGACCCAGGGTGACGATCTGGGAGTCATCTTCAAGAACTTCGAAATGGGCCGTCGCAATTCTTCCGAGTCTGGGCCTGCATCTGAGACCAAAGTTGGTAAGAACGATTCACCACCGACATTTACGGATTCTCCCTCATCGACAATGCTTTCCGTCCCTGAGATAATGGATCATCCCCGATTTTCTACTGTTCGAAAGGGCCAGACCGAAGTCACGGGCATCACTCTGCTTGCTCCAAACCACGAAAACGCAAGTGTTTCCAACGTCCACGGCCCATTAGAGATGTTCTTTAACTGTGTAGGAGCACTCTTTTACATTATGAATAGGAACGACGTCCAAGCATGCATCGAAGCAATCAAAGCCTCCGGAAACGAGAACATGCCACTCGGACACATGTTCAGCAACGGAAGTACAATCGAACTTCGTACTTATGCCGCAGAAATTGCGGGTATGGCCTCTATCGGTGTTATACATTCACAGCTAGCCGACCCCACAAAGGCACCGCCTCCCGAGCTTGCCGATTACTTCTACGCAGTCGCCAAACATGGCCTGGACTCTGCGATTCTTCACGATCCGCTTCGAGCCATGAATGTTTGCGCGCTGCTTGGCATGTATAACATCGTCGTCAAAGCGACAGTTGCTCTGGCTTATATTGGTACGAGTCACACTTGGGTATACCCACGAGAAATACGCCACTAATGACTTTCAGAACTTGGTCTGAGCCTTCCTCGCAACCGCAACATATCTCTCGAAACATGTCCGCCAGACTGGTCCCCAAGCTACTACGACGACATTCGTCGCACGCATATGACTCTTGTCCACTTGCAATGGTCAGTTTGGCATGCCTTTAGTTATGTGTGATATATCACTGACTACTTCGATAGCTGGCTGAGCGCATCTCTTGACTACAACTCTGATTCGTTAACCTTCGACGTCCACTCATCTCTCAATGGACTAGACGCGCCGCCCCAGGACATGATTCGACGCGAATGCGTTAAAGTTTCCATCATCAAGGCAAGCTTACTTCACCGTCTACCAAGCAAGGCGCCCGTACCGGAAAATGTCACGCTAGAGTTTCGCGCGCAATTATCGAGATTCCATGCGCAACTCCCCGACTGGATGTCAGTTGCTGCGCTGTTACGCGGCGACAGCAGCCCGCTGATGGCCACATTCCGTCCAGTAATATTCTATGTTCATCTCTTTTACCTTTCGGCTATGATGCTGCTTGCTCGGCGGCTAATAATTGCATACATCCCGCTCGATGCAGTTGGCATCGTAGTTCTTCCACCAGAAGCACGAAGGGCTATCGAGGAAGGATACCAAGCTGCGGAAACAAACGCGTCTGTCATGAATTTAATGCTACAGGAAGGGAAGGTAGTACAAGTTTGCTGGCTCTGCATGTGAGTCAGGCGCATGCCACGGTGGCGAAGGATGCTAACCCAGAATTCCAGTTACACAGCCTACACGGCGGGAGTCATGATCGCTTACCAGGCATCGCAGAGGGCTCTGAACAACGAGCCATACACTGACGACGTGAAACTGCTGGAAAAATGCATTAGTGTTCTCGAGTACTGTGCGATCAAAGACACGCTTGCTGGCAGGTTTCGTAACATTCTTGCAGCTCACATGGGGAAGCTGCAAGATTACAGATCTCAGACAAGGGATGGTGAAGAGTTCGCGACGCCCCCGACTTCTCTGGCGAGTGACAGCCTCTTCTTCTTTGACCGTGGTTCATCTGAGCTTCACACAGCAGTTTTTGACTTACTTCGCCTCATACATCGCCCATTCAGTGGCCTGAAAGACGTCGCGACAAAGAGTACTCTCTCGAATCGCGCCGAGACAACTATGGGCACCCACCTTGAGTGGGAGTACGAGCTCAAAAACAGAGACGATCCAGAAGTACCACCGAACGTAGATGAGGGTGCATGTGTGACTGATGTCAGATGCGAGCCAACGCAGTCTCAGTGTTCGCCCTTTGACCCAATTTGCGCTTCGCAAGAGCTGTCGGCCCCGCCTTCGGAGGAAGCCTGGACAAAATGGACTCCAGCAACGTGGCAAAGTTCCTTTCACACATCACCAAAATGAGTTCGAAACCTCGTTGGCCCTTCTACGAGCACGATGATACGATTCACACGAGATGTTACAGACGTTGGCTTGCAAGGCCACACCATGGTACGCGTTCTAGGAGTAAGATTTGGAACCTTGCCAGCTCTCACGTAGCCTGGCTCCTTTCGCGTCCGAAAGATGACGGCGATAGAACATGACATGGTGTCTTTGTTATGGAAGGGTGCTTCCGGTACCACAATATAATCCATGGGACGAACCCATCCAGAGCTAGACGAATCATACACTGCTCATTTCCTTTTTAAACCCATCGATCTTGATATTCCATAACTACAGAAGTCTGTATACAATGGGAAGCGCGACACGGGCCTAATGGTCAGCAACGTTGAATCTTGCACAACCTATCCTGCAGCTTTACATACGTCATAACCCCGCTTCACACTATAGCAACTGCTCGACGCATTCGAATTGCGCTGTCAAACCATTCCATCTTCTCATCAACATAATCCTTAACTCTGTACCTTGCCATGACACATCCTCCACCTACTCATATGGCGACGAAAGATCTTTTTAGGCTGAATGACCGGACTATCATAGGTACGGCTTACCAATCGACGTATGGACTGGAGCTGACACAGTCTTCTAGTTTCCGGAGGTGCCGGTGCAGTAGGTACGGCCGTAGGTGTAGCGATCCTAGAGAGTGGCGCAGAGGTCGTATTTGTCGATGTCTCCGACCCCACTCCCGAAAGCTGGGGTACACAATGCCTGTAATCTTCCCAATTTGATCTCCTGTATAACTGTGACCAGATCGGATTCAGGAAGTTGCGCGAGGTAATCACACCCATGCGCTATTCCAACGCCTCGACGTCCAGGATGAACCCAGCATCACATCAGCCTTCAACACCATCCGTGCTAAGCTTCGTCATCCGATCCGGGGGCTCGTCTCCTGCGCCGCCATCTCCGGCGAAAGCGATGCTTGTTCGTACCCCATCGACACGTTTCGTACAATCCTCGATATTAATATCTCCGGCACCTTCCTCATCGCCCGTGCCGTAGCGAACGAATTGCACAACGCCAAGCAATCGGGAAGCATCGTCCTATTCGCCTCGATATCGGGTCACATTTCTAACCACGGAATCAACACTGCCGCGTACAATGCTTCGAAAGCGGCAGTGCATCAACTTGCTCGATCGCTTGCCGCCGAATGGGGTCACCCACAGAACACTTTTCCCGGTAGCACGGTCACGGCAACAAACCCAAATCCCAGCCAAGAGCCACGAAAAGCTTATCCGCCGATCCGAGTGAATACCATCAGCCCCGGTCACATTGACACGCCTCTGAGCGCGGAAGCGCGGAAGAGGGGGTTGACGGACGAGTGGGCGAAACAGAATATGCTGGGGCGAATTTCGGTGCCCGAAGAGTTTCGAGCGCCGGTGCTGTTCTTGCTGAGTGAGGGAAGCAGTTATGTCACTGGTTCTGTAAGCTGATATTCTTTGACTAGTATCAAAAAAGACGGGATTGCGAGGCTAACATGTCACGTGTAGGACTTGAGGGTCGATGCAGGGCACTGCGCGTGGTAGAATTCGACGGAAGAGATGTACTCGTTGATTCATGCGTCCGAAAGAGATAAAGGTATATGTATATACAAGAAGAATTGTAGAAGATAACCGCCAAATGTGGGCCATCAACTGCCCCAGCACCAACGCCTCGCTCATTCGTAATCGCCCTTTTATACAATGCAATGTCTTTCCCTACCACCAACTCCAGGTTCCTCATCATGCGTCAGAGACAATAATCTTCTCGGACCCTCTACTCGTTGATTCTGTGTTGCCAGACTTCCTGCTCCGCTCTCGCAGAGTAAGTGCTAGCACCAAGAATAGCCCTCATCTGATCAACTCCCGTGAAGAGGATTTGCCTAGCAACGAACCAACGGATACCCTCAGTGCAAGGGGGGCTTGTCAAGCTACCCTGGTACGTCCAGAACTCGTTGAAGTACAGGACGCTCTCAAGCAGAGGAGCAAAGTCCATAGTAGTAGGCTCCTCAACTCCCATCTCGGTGTAACCAATCATGGCGGGTAGCTGCTCGAAGAAGGTTGAGTTGGAGTTACCAGGGTCGAGGCGGATAGCCATGACGGCGGCTTCGTGACCCTCGGCGTCGACATGGACGAGATGGAGTTCGGCTTTGCTGCGGTCGCCACCGACGGAATGGTCGGCTGGGGCGTGGATGTGCCAGCCCTTGAGGTAAACGGTCTCGTTGTCGTACGTGAAGCTTGGGTGGCTGGTCCAGTCAATGTCTTCCTCTGCTGCCTTCTCGTCGTGTGCAACGGTGAAGGCGGGACCATAGCCCCAGTTGTAGAAGTTGCCGGCAACGCTGCCGTTGTACTTGAAGGTGGGCACGTGGTTCAAAGCCAGTCCGTTGCCTAATGAGAGTGCAATGGGAGACTGCTGAGTTCCAGTCTGGCAGAGCTCGTAGTCGGGGTTGATCTTTCCCCAGTTGAAAGATGCTTCGTAGGCCCAGTCGTTCTGCGTTACGTTGGTGCCTGGAGGCACTTGTTGTCTTGTAGTGAGGTGTACATTGCGTTTAGCGTTGGTGTGTTGGGGACAGCTGAGTGCTGTGGGTGCTAGAGTGGCGGCGGCGAGGAAGATGGATTGGAACAACATGGTGACGGTGCTGGTCTTTGTGTGATATGAGTGTCGGATGACTTGGTAGAAAGACTGAATTGGCTGCTGTGATGAGAAACTTGCTCGTCGTGCGAGGACATCTTATATATAGTCCAGCGGCCGGATTATGGAATGTTCCTCCGCCTTCACAACGACTACCCTAGTCCTTCAAGCAAAGGTCTCAGCCATGTCCTTCAATTCCGCCAAGCAGTCTTCACACATGCCCTTTTCGTGCGCCATGGAAGGTCTCCCATCGCCAAGTGCCCTATCTTTTCACTACCGTTGCGCAGCCTCTTTGCTTGCGCAGTCAGTACCATTAGGAAATGCACTTGGTTTCCTTGGGAGACGGCACGCGCTTGTATGTTGGAAACCAAACATCCAGCCCATTCCTCGTAGCAGTTCGAACGCCAAGCATGAACCCTGTTTCCGACAAGAAACGCTTGTTGACCGAAGGCGATAGCGCAGGGGCGAGATCGCTCTTTGCTATCTCGAGTTAACCCGGCGATCTTGGCGAGAAACGGTCGCGCGGCTTCTACCCAATGCATTGATACTGGGGATTCCGACAAGATGAGACTTGGCGTGGAGAACCATGACTACCGTATACTGTAATAAGCTCAGCGGACAAGAACGGCCGGGAGAGGTCGAGTTGCTTAAATGATGGCACGCAGCACGGATGTAGCAGTCGGCCCGTCGCGGGAACGTCAAAACAAAACCTTTCCGCTGCTTAAGAGCTCTTGACGCGTGGCATAAGCATGATGCGACGACCAGGAAGCCACAGACCCCGAAGTCGAACATAACGTTCGATTGTGTAGATCAAAGAACGTGGGAGTAGTTCCTGCAGGTCCCACAGATCCGCCTAAATACCCAGACCTAGACCCTTCCATTACGTTGTACAACATCACCCATCGTTAGCTTGCACGCAGATCGATACCGCCGTGCAGCGCCGCCGCTACTCATCGAAGGCGTGCCACAATCAGGGAAACACGACCGCCAAAGCGGCGCATTGCTGGATCTGTGAAAATCTCCGCTGTCGACCCGGATACGTCGACGAAACAGAAGCGGGCCGACGAAAGCTCTCTGTTCAGTCATCAAGCTGTTTCTGCTACAGCCTTGGCGCGTATAGTGTCCAAACTTGCCAAGGGAGCGAGCTGCTTGGATTCAGTACGTACTAGACATGAGGCGGGACGCGCAGTCGAGAGAAATGACTTGATGCATGACGGCACGATGCTGAGTATATCGAGAGGAGACCGGGTGGTGTGAGAACATGGCATCCGGCTCCTCCGCATCGACGACAATGCCTAACTTTAACAACCAATCCATGAAACAAGTGAACACCCACATAACATGGATGACCTAGGAGTCTACATTGCCTTAGGGTTGTGTCACGTTTTGTTTGCGAACTAATGTGGACCGCAGCACAGTTACTCGGTTTCTTCGTTGTACGAGGTGAACGAATCCATTCCTAGCAATCAGTATCCAGGCCACACTACCTCGTCGCATTCGGGATGCTTAAAAGCTCCATTGCTCATCTCGTACTCGTACTCCAGATCAGGTTGAAACTCCCAGTATAGGCTCTCAGCATCGGCCCCCATTTTGTATGTATATGCCGCTGCATCGTCGTCGACGTAGACCTTTGGGACGCCGTTGGCCGCTGCCGCTTCAATCTTCAACTGGACATCGCAAGAGCGTTCCATGAGGGTGTACAAGAAGGCGGCTTCGTCGACAGTACCTCCTACCGTCTGTGTGGTATTAGCTGAATGCCGGTCGCGGGATCGCGCACTGGGGGACGTACCAAGAGGCCATGGTTTCGCAGCACCATCCCTTTTCCCTTCGGTCCCAATGCCGCTGCCAGCCTCTTGCCTTCTGCCTCATCGAGGACAACGCCGCCAAAGTCATCATAGACGGCTTGCGCATCGCCGTAGAAGTAGCATACGTCTTGGTTCAGCATCTCCAATGGCTTCGCGAAGGCGCTCCACGCTTTGCCTGCCTTTCCATGGCAATGGCATGCCGCGTTGACGTCTGGCCGCGCCTTGTGTATTGCCGAGTGGATAAGGAAGCCAGCTGCGTTTGCAGGTCTGCTCTGGTTTCCTCCCACCACCTTGCCATCGTAATCAACAAGGACCATATCGGATGCCTTCAGGAGACCGAAGTGCTTTCCGAGCGGGTTTGTCCAGAAGTTGCGCGGGTGCTCTGGGTCTCGCACCGAGATGTGACCCGACATGCCTTCGGTCAGGCCGTGCCTTGCGAAGACGCGGAAAGCACCCGCCATGTGCGATAGTATCCATGCGCGATGCTTGTCGTACGAGGAGAAGAGGGGGATGCCGGGGAGGCAGACGCCCTGCGAGATGGCTTGCAACGGCGTCAACTCCTTGGTCGCGTCATCTTTGGATCGTGGGACAAGCTGCTTGGGTTGCGCGACTGGCGCTGGCTCGACCTGGATAGCGGAGGGTGCCATGTTTGGAATGCGATGCGATGCGATGCGATGGGGTCTAGCTGTGTGTAAGTAGGCAGTGTAAGTTGCAATGGATCAAAGATGGCCTTGAGTCGAAGCTCTTGGATGCGCCGTTGTTATACTTCAGACGACCGCGATCAGGCCGATGTTATCGCCTCAAAGGGCGCGTGAGGTGGAGAAAGGTGCGATAACGGTCCAGTCGAGCTCAAGATGCGCTGCGGGGTGCCGCCCTAGTCGCCCGCCAACTTATCACCGGCCCTTTCTCCACGCCGCTGCCACATCGACGACTATCCAACCATCTCACACGACGAAGAAAATGAACCGAACCTTGCAGCCGACAGCATGAACAGGTTAGAAGGTAAGGGTTCCGGCATTTACGTTTGCGTCGAGGCCACCAAATTATATGATAAGAGTCTCAAGGCAACGCGTTTGGTTCTTCTACTGAACAGGATGAGCCCTTTGTTTATGCTGCCACTTCGATGACTATCAAACGGCGAGCAGCGCCGATGGCATTCGAGACTATGCTTGCCAATATGAGGGAGATCGAAGAGCTTACTCTGTGCTGCAATCAGCTCAGCCACGCTTTGTCGCTTCGCTTCTTCTCGAGTTGAGCAAGCAACAAAGACGCAGCAGTGCAACTATCTTATATCCCTGTCTTCTAACTTACATCTAAGTATGTAGTATAATACTTTAGTTTTTACTCTTTGTCTTATAGTACTACAGGGACGCAACGTAGATAAGCAACTTACAACTTCTAAAATGTACATGTATTTATCTAATTAGGTCCTTTTGAAAAAGAGAAGTATCGTTAACACAAGAACTTCGCTTCTCCTCGCTGGCGATCATTCGTCCGCAGCATCACGAACGGGGATCAGATGCCGTCTACCTTCAGCTCTCAACCGTCATACCGGCACCTGGAATACTGCTCACTACCTAGGCATCTCATGCACATGGCAGCGTTGGGGCCAATTCTGGATAACACCCCACAATACGTCGTTCTTCGAGCGGACGCGGAATCCATCCAGGTGACCTCAGAACTGAAGCATGTCGTGTAACTCAGTTCATTCAAATGCACTTAGTAGGAAAGAAAGGTAGGTCCGCTTGAAACATTGTCTATCTGGGACGTTGTAACAATATGGGGAAGCGGTCATTGCATGAACATACGCCTATGCCGACATCGACTGTCATCTCAGGATTCGCCGGAAAGAGACGTGTTACTTCGTTTTCTCGCAGCCAAGATATGAGACGCGGAGCATCTCGTCAGCCATCGACGTCTCGGTGGCATTACAACCGAAAGGTCCGCCCCACCAATGCGCAGCTGCAAGGTAGTCCTCCCAAATCACGATAGCGGGGTGCATCTTCGTCGCGAGAGCAAGTAATTCTCCCGCCAGCCCAGCCAACATGGTGCTGTGCCTTGCTGTGTACGTCCGACATCCCACGTCCTGGAGTAATTTCTGCAAGACATACATAAACCCTCCCGGCCGACACGATGGCCGAGAGCGCTCGAGATGCGATATTTAAAGAGGGCAATTCTGCCTTCCTTGATCAAATCACCCACCCCACGTTATTCATTCCCAGCATTCAAACTTCAAGTATCATTCAGGATGTCTTCAGGCAAGACCGTCACCCTTAGCTCTGGCTACAAGATCCCGTATGTTGTTCCAGCCTGTGCTTATGATGATTCGTTGTTCTGACGTCGCTTTAGTCAATTGGGATACGGTACATGGCAAGCCGCTCCAGGTGAGGTCGGCAACGGTGTCTACGAGGCACTAAAGATCGGATACCGTCACTTGGTAAGTCTCCGAGACCCTGAAGACCCTGGAACCGTTTACTCCATCTTTTGAACGACGATTGTGTTCAATTTCAACGGCTGACTCGATCAAATTAGGATCTTGCAAAGATGTATGTCCACCATCACAGCTCACACTCACAATCCCGTTTTCACCCATCTCACTTCGGGCTTGCTCCCACCTGACGTGGGACAATTTTTCGTCAGCGTTGGTGGAAGTCCAACTGCAATGCCCCTCAGTGGAGATGGAAGCTTAGGAAGCTATGACCATACCCCACTAGCATTCCTGAGAACACAAGCTGACGAGATATTCCACCAACCACAGCTACGAGAACCAAAAGGAAGTTGCGCAGGGCATCAAGCGCGCATACAAGGACATCCCAGGTCTGAAGCGTGAGGACATCTTCATCACGGGAAAACTGTGGAACTCTCAGCATGATCCTGCCACTGTAGAGGCAGCTCTCGATGACACTCTCGCTGAACTTGAGCTGGAGTATCTCGACCTGTACCTCATTCACTGGCCTGTCAACTTCGGGCCTGGAAAGAACCCTCACTCGGATCTGTTCCCCATGACTTCTGACCCCAATGAGGTTAACATCGACAACTCCGTCCCTAACAGCGAGACATGGAAGGCCATGAACAAGCTGCCAAAGAGCAAAGTCCGCTCGGTCGGCGTCTCCAACTTCACATACCAAACCTTGAAGGCTTTGGTTGAGAAGACTGGCCTCGTGCCTGCCGTCAACCAAATCGAGCGTCACCCCATCCTCCCCAGCAAGGAGCTCGTCGCTTACGCCAAGGAGAAGAACATCCACATCACCGCGTACTCCGCCTTTGGCAACAACTTCTTCGACATCCCATTGCTCATCCACCGCCCTGAGATCAAAGCAATTGCGGAGAAGAAGGGCGCCACACCCGCACAGGTCATCCTGGCATGGTCTCAAGTCGGCGGCCACTCTGTCATTCCCAAGTCTGTTACTCCGTCGCGCATTGCTGAGAACTTCAAGGAGATCGAGCTGGACGACGAAGACATCAAGGCTATTACCAAATTCTCGGATGAGCACCAGGGAAGGAGAAGGTACAATGTTCCCTACACGGCGAACAAGCCTAGATGGAGCATCAACATCTTTGATGAGCCAGAGGAGCAGGAAGCGCCCAACAAGGTCGTCTTGTAGATAGCTTGAGCCTGCACATAAGCCGCAATACCATCAATGTTTACTTGAGCTTCTCGAACAACTGCGCGTTTGGGGGAGTGTGATTGTTGCAAGTGACTTACTGCGTAAAGCCAGATTATGTATTTGATCTTTGAGGAGTTGAGTATTACAACGCCAATTCGTTAGAGGCTCCTGGGTAAGGAGGTTGAGGTGCGACGCGTAGATTTGGAAGACTGAGCCGGCACGCGAGCTAACATCTTTTCGGTTAGGTCAAATCGCGTACCTGCGTCATCCATGGATATACGTCGCGTCGCGTTACTCCGCTGCCCACGGCTTCAATAATGCTATATCCTCTCTGTGTTTTGTCACACACGATACCTCCTCTGTCTTCCTCGCCCAGGCCTTGCAGCCATCGTTAAACCGATCATGCTGTTCAGCGCTCTTCACGACGCCAGCAACGCGAACAACGTATCTTCATCGAGGACTCTGGCTCGTCTGGTATCTTGAGGAAGAAGGATTTATTTTGTCATCAGTCAAGGAGCTGAAGGAGCGTAGCCACATCAGTGGCCAGCCTACATAGTCGCTCCATGTGCCACTGGAATCTCGACACCTACCACACCACCTGGCTCAATGCCAACAGGACCTCTACATGCCATCGTTGATCTGCACTCCACCAGGTAAGCTCTTCAACCCTGCTCAGTAAGTTAGCATCGTGCCTTGAGTGTCTAGTATTGCGCTTACAAGTCTCAGACCCGTCGACATCCTCAACCACCGTCTGCGGAATACTGCACTTCATCGCGTCTTCGTCGCTCTGCCTAGCCAACTCGCTACATTGATCGTTACTGCACCGTGCGTCCAGCGCTCGTTGCAGCGCATCGCCCTTCCAACCGAACATATAATCACCATGGTTACCATGGCCGGTCCTACAATCAGTCGTTAGCATGATTACGGTCCTTCACGCGTTCCAACGGGAAGAGGGGGTCTCACGCATCGCCCATACTGAACACAAATGGCTGTGTCCCCTCCTCGCCCCACAGCTCAGGAGTATTGAATGGGGTCGTGTCGAACATGACCTCATACATGATTTGCGGAAGCTGCACGGGATAGCCCTCTGGACACTTGCCCCTCTGCTGCTCGGGTGAATACGGAAATGTAGCCATGGGCGGGAAGTATGGCTCATACGGGATCTCTGCATATGCGACGTGGCTCTGGTGATCTGGCGAGTCGAGGTTGACGCCGTCCCAGCATGTAGGGAAGGTGACTTGGGTACGAATGCCACCTTCGCACATGCGGTTGGGGAGGAATGTTGTATCTTCTCCTGTACACGGAGCGCCACCAAAGGGCTGTGAGTCCTTGTAAATGCAGCGATGGCAGATACCGCGGGACTCGCCAGTGGTATTGCGAAGAATTGGGTTACCAGCGAGCATGCGAAAACCCTAATGAGAAGTCAGCAACACCGCTCATTGGAAGGAAAGCGAAGTCTCTCGCCCTCAAGAGTGGAGGACGGACGGGTCTGAACGCAGTCACGTTGCTGAAGCCATCATATGGAGGTATGTAGTACACTGTCATACCGCCTCTCTGGTTTAGCCCAAGATTGGGGAACTGTTGGACACGTTTGTAGGTGCCATTTTGAGAGGCGCGGTAGTACAACGCTGCAGTCCAGTAGTTGCTAAGTTCCGTCAGCTATGACTCCGCTACAGCTAGGCGCCTCATGGCATACCTGAAGTCTTCGCTGAAAGTACACGTAGTACAAGTACTCTTCTCGACCAGATCATACTCCACAGGCTTCATTTCAGCCTGAAAGCTGTTCCCTCCGACGATTTGGTGCGTATGCGGACTTCCAACGACTCCAGGGTTGACCAAGGGGTCTAGCCGCTCGACGGTGAGTTGAGAACATGCGAAGCGCATCATCGCAGCGCCGCGACTGACATTTTGACCTAGCGCCGCACTGATGAGCGTGGCCGCTACGAGGATCGAGTTCTTCATGATGATTAGACGGCAGAGCAGATTTCTTTTGCAGACCAGTCAACAGGACGACCGTCGTTCAGACCAGATGAATATCTATGGAGAGACCTGTGCAGTCATCTATGTGGGGCGCACAAGTGCCGGGACCCAAGCAGTCTCGTCCAAGACAACTCCCTTCTAAAGGTTCCAGTACAGTGGATTCTGGGACGTTGGGCCATTCGAGGGAGTGGTGTACAGTGCACTCGCATATTGAGCGACCAGGGTCTACCCAATCATGCATCTACCGCACGATAACATCACAGGCTTCTGATAGTCCAACTAGTGACGAGGCACTCAACTACAGTCAATGTTGTATTCATCTCCTACTGGCACAGAGCAACATTCCGTTCCATTGGTTTGGACAAGCTGACACTGATTTGGGTTACCATTATGTCGAGCAATACAGGATATTGACGAAATGGCAGGCGAGACATCAATTAAGGATGTCAAAAACGCTCAACTTGTTCATCCGATCCACAAAAGGCTCTTTCCAATGACGAGTGTCGTCTTCATAAGGTCGAAACCGCTGAACCTCAATCCGCGGGATCGTCCCTCCTTCTTCAACCCAGAGCCACCTCCGATACTCCCTGAGCTCCTGGGGCCAAAAATCGCAAGGGTCCATGTCCGCATTCCAGTCATTAGGAGGGTACCAACGCGGGTCTTCAATCTCAAAGAAGACTTCTGTCACCTTGAAAATTATCTTCCCATGCTCGTCCTTGCCAGCGGGTATCTTGGTCTCGCGGTACTTGGTCGCGCCCGCGGGGACTTCGCGCCTGATGACCTTCCCCCATGGCTCGTCGTAGACATCTGGCTCTCCAACCGGATGTGTCCAATCCTGGTTCTGATAACCTGGATGGCAAGGGTATCGGCCATGGGCATCGATGGTATCCAGCTCATAATAGATCGGCTCCAGGTGCCACTTCCTGCGGCGAGCATCAGGAACTAGAGGGCCTTCAACGAACGTGGCGATGGAGCGTATGCGCAGCCAGTCCCACTCCGATTTGTCCTCTACTAGACGCTCAAAGCGGAAGATGACCCCGGCATAGCTAGCGCGATCCTCGATCTCCAGATCCACAGTACCGAAGCGAACTTTGATGATCCTGGGTTCGTCAGTCTCCTCGGGAATGAGTTTGGAGGACTCAGGTTTGGCGCGGAAACACTCAGACTTAGAGTTCCCATGGTCGTGGTACCGGGCGCAGAAATCTTGGAGATTTCCCTCGCCCCGTCTGAACCTCTGGACAATGTCGCAAGGCCCGGCCATCATTAAGAGAATGGTGTGGAAGCACCAGTCTATCACGAAATCCCTGTTCAGATGACGCTTTTGCTTTTCCACTTTAGCTCGTAACAGCTCAACTTGGTCAAACAATGACTCGAGCACTACCATACGGATCTTATCATTGGCCTTGGTGTGCTCCCACAGTAGGTTGATGTCGCCAATTTCAAAACTCATGAACTGGATGGTGCTGTCGCAATCCTTCATGGTGACACTTCCCTCTTTGTGCTTGTTGACAAGCTCGATTTCTTGCTTGAAAGACAGGACAATCTCGTCGAGAATCATATCGCTGACCTCCGTAGTCGCCATCGCTTGGGAGAGCCGATATGTCTCAAACAAATCGCTCATCGCGATGGACGGTGTGCCGTTATCGCGGTGAATGAAGCTTGTGTCATCGTATGGTTCCAGGCGGTATATGCGTCTCGGGAAAGTGTGACGACGACCTAGAAAAACCGAGGTGTACCACCGATCGAAATTATCGAGAGAGTACTCAAGAAAGTGTTGGTCGTTGATCGGCAGCAGGTCCATGACCTCTTGCGTTACAAAGCGATTGACGCCACCATCTTGCCCAGGCGGAAATACCACAAGCTGAACAGCCTCGCCGTCGTAGAGCAATGGGTTAATGATAGGTTCTTTGCCCAGAACCGGAGACGCTTCGCTTGTGTCTGGAAGGAAGTTCTTCAGCTCTGCGTACAAGGGGATGTCATGCTCGGCAAGCCCAAGGGGGCTCGTGGCGAAGTAAACTCCCGTGAGCTCAAAGACTGCCTTATTGGCCGACGCGAAACGCTTACGTACGCCCTCTGCACTGACATTGCCCAGTTCTGCCATCTTGTCCCAAGCGACTGGCTCCTGTTGCCATGGCCTACGTAGCTCGTAGGCGTTTTGGCACCTGTTGGGAACTTTGGAATCGATGACCACTTTACTCCAATCGATTGGACAGCTGGGCTGGTCGTGATAGGGGTGTGTCGGCGCTGGGAATCCGTAGTCCCAAGGTGTAATCGCTGGGCGAGGTGGTGGACTGAAGACTGTGTTTGTCAGCTGGAAACGCCCATGGCAAAGACGAGATAGGCTCTTACCTGTCGCTCTAGCGCGCAGTTGTTGTGCAACTGCGTCGTCGTCTTCTTCCTCTACATCATTTTCCTCTTCCTCTGAAGCATAATGCTCTTCCTCTGAAGCATAATGCTCTTCCTCGAAGGCAGAAGCCTCTTCCTCTGAAGCAGTGTCGTCTTCTGTCTCCATGATGTACACGTCTTCAGCACCTGACACAGCGCTGTTGTGAACCTTGGTCTTCGCAGCCCTCAACTCTGTCGACATTGTCATCGAGCTTTGTGTAGGCGTATCGTTTGTTGCGACATGCACTGCGCCAGTGGCTGATACACGACTAGAGGCTATAGTGCGACTCGTGGTGCTCGCGGCAGGACCTGGAGCTACATTGCGCTTCGCATGGGTGGTCTTCAGGCGCTTTGCTGGCGTCTTCTGATCGTCTGTGTGCCCGTTCGGAAGGAGATGGTCGCGAGTAGGAGCTGTCAAGGATGGATCGCTGCGCTGCGCCATATCAGAGCCGCTCTTGGAGATCGGGTTCGCTTCTTCGGCCTTGCGCTTCTTGCTAGGTGACGGCGCCATTACTGAAGCGGGATTCATAGGCGCTGTCGATCGGGCTTGAAGCGCAGTGGGGATGGTAGGCATGTTGATGTCAACGTTGCCGGAAGTCAAGAAAGTATTCCCGCGAGTGTGATACACGGTATGCAAGCCAAGGTGGAATCAGGTGTAGTATAGGGAGATGGACCCGTCATTTATATGCGGAAGGGGAGTGCCCGTTATCCAGGCCCCAGCGAAGAGCACATGGTCGCTGCACTGACCTCGTCAGCGGTCTTCTGGGGCAAACTGGTGGCATCTGCCCGATATAGGAGTGAAAGCATTTGTGAATGGTGGTGAATGCTAAGATTGACATGTGATGGATGATATAGCGCAATATGAGACGAGCGATGGGGAGCGGTTCATAGTGACAAGCAAATAAATGCATGTATTCGCCCACATATATCGAGCTGCTAATCTATACCAAACACATGCAGCAACAAACTACTGTAGCATGCCTTCCAAACTCTCTCCCAAAATCTCCTCCATACCATTCTTCCACCTCTGGCACTCCCTCTCGACCATCTCATCGTCGTCTTCCATGAGCTCACTGATGAAAGGCAGCATCTCAGGAAGTAGACCCAGCCACTCTTCTCCTAATCTCCTCGTCAAGCTCTGCTCACACAGCACTGTCGCTAACCTAGTGTTTCTGTCGTCGCTCCTCATGTTCTTCAGCAATATGCTGTTCATCTCGCGATGGTTCTCCATGGATGATGCAGATGCAACAGCAAGTTCGGTGATGGTAGGAATGATATTGTTGGTGTTGTCCTCTGGTGTAGATGTCGATGCGGATGGTAGGCTGAGCAAAGACAGCAGGGGCGGCATAATGGTGCCAAAGTGAGATGGCGCTTGCCAGAAGCCGTCTTGATCGTGCTGGAATGTCTTCTGGAGAGCGTCAAGCACAGCCCTGCGTGTGGTAACATCAGAGTCTTCTTTAGCAAGTTCAGTCAGCAGCTTCGCGGCATGCTCGATGATGTAGCTCGAATAGCTTGTTACAAGAGACTAGTTGTGTGTTAGTGACATTTTGATGGGGAATAAAAGAGCAAGACGTACCTTGAACTTGTCGAAGAAGGCGCCGAGGAACTTGTAGAAGGTGACAGCCTGTTGAGGCTTGCTCGACAGTGGGCCCTCCTGGTCCACAAGCTGAACGAAGAACGGTCGGAATGTAGCATCGCTGAGCTTCAGTACCATAGAGATGACGGAGTCAATAAGCGTAAGCTCCAGCTGCTCCAGCTCCTCCTCATCAACTTCGACGGTAGTAGATTGGACCGTCTCACGTAGTCGGAAAGTTTGCAGAAGTAGAGTGAAGAGGGGCGGACTGGCTTTGACAAGCTTAGCCTTGGTCTGATTGTTGACAGTCGCGCGCAAAAGCTCAAGCTGCTCAAGTGACGCATCGAAGCCTTGAGAGGCGGCATGTGGCCACGTTGACTTGATAGCAGCGAACACTTCCTGAGCACCGAGATGCTCAGATACACTCTGGAAGAAACTGCTGCGGCTTTCGTCGCAGGACTGTTCCAGATCGGCAGCGGCAGAGCGCTGGCATAGTCGAAGAGCGGTGTCCAAGTAGTCGCGCGAGAACATGTAGCCCAAGCGCTCGACAATGTTCGAAAGCACGGTAAACACAGCGTTGTGAAGACCAGTCTTTTCCTCTTCGATCGCATCCGATAGATATTGGAATGCTGTTGGCAACACGGTAGGGAGGAGCGAGATGGCCTCATCTTCGAGAACGTCAACGACAGATGTGAGGCAGAGGAGGGAGAGGATGCGAAGGCGATCATCGCTGCTGGAAAGCGATTGGGGACCGGACACAACTTGAGCTACTGATACAACAGCAGATACGTCCTTCTTCCCGAAGCGGTCGACGATGCGATCAATGCAGCTGACAGAGACCATCTTGGCATCCATGTCAGGTGATTGTTCCAGTAGATCCTGAACGCTAGGCAAGAAAGAGATCAGGGCCTCTACAGATTTGCGGTCGTTCTGCTTGGCGGTGCCCGCGCGCAGCTCAACCGACTTGACGGCAGCTACCTGGACGTGAGAGTCTGTGCTCACAAGAAGTAGCTGTGCTGATTTGATAAGGTCGGTCGTTGGCAGGAGGTCTAGGCAGCTGGCGAGAACACGACTACATCCGGCGTAGGTCTTGGGGTTTGTTGCAAGCTTCTTTGCCAGTTGAATAGAAGTCTCGACGATGTTTGCAAAGATCTTGCGTGGTCGTTCAGGGTCATCCTTCTTTCTGTACGCTCGAGTAACGTGTGCCTTCACCTTATCGTCAAGCGCGAGATCTGTCAAACACGACAGCATACTCTGAATTGACAGGTCAAATTTGTTGTCTTTCGTCTTTTCCTTGAGGCTGAAAAGTGTTTCCGCGACCTGGGGTTTCGGTCCCACGGCATCAGTGAGCAGATCGACATATCCCTTGAAGGTGACGAGGGTGTGGACAGGTTCGAAGTGAAGTAGCAAGTCCGCACAGAACCTTCGTTGCTCCTTGCTGTGGTAGCGATCGGCAAGAAGTGCCACGATAGCCGGGAGCGAATCCTCGGGGCCTAGCGTACGAGCAAGCTCTGTGAATAGCTTCATCCTTCTGTGCAGGGGAATGTGTTCAAAGGCGGCAGTGAAACTGAGCAGCAAGTCGGACACGCCAGCGATGAAGTCTCTGTGTTTTGAGCGGAGAGAGGCAGCCAGTTGAGGCACGACCCGAGAGATAGTCTTATCAACGACCTGAGCGGAATAGTCGTCATGCTGGCGAAGCAGAGTAGATCCGATGAAGGTGAAGATAGGCATGAGATTGTGAAGAATGAGATCAGGAACCCATGAGGCAAGATTGGAAATGAGAAGCAGCGCGCTGTTTTGAACCTGTGGGCTGCTGGAGTGTCGAATGCAGTCGATGAGTAGGTCCGCTCGTACTGCCGATTGGTAGTCGGCGGTGTCGGCTTGCTCTTTCAATGTGTTTACGATCGGGCTTAGTGATCCCAGAATAATACTCTGAAGATACACTAGCTCAGACCCAGACTGTTGCTTGAGTGGCTGTAGTTCAGCAAAGATGCCGAAAAGGTTCTTGAACAGTGTTGGGTGCTGTCCAGGGTTTGACCCTTCAACCAGCTCAAGTACCAACGTGAGCTTTCGGAGTAGTCGCTGAACATCGTCTTGGGATGAAAGCTCGACTCGAGCCATCTCACTCTTGCTTGTCCTTCGCCTTTTCGCTGAAGGCGGTCCTTCGGGCATGGAGGTGGGAGATGGAATGCTTTCTAAGAAGGTGACCAGGATGGCAGAATCAAGGTCAACGTTGCGCAGAATCTCAACGGATCGTTCTCTACGAAGCTTATCGAAAGATTTGTCACTTTCGCTGGTTGATAGGCTGAGCATGCACTGAGCCAACGCGTGACGAGCTTCAGATCTGAAGGAAGACCATGAGGTTTGAATGCGATCAAAGGCGGCCATCACTAAAGCTTCACGCTCCGTGTTGAAAGTCCCAGAGATGATGTCCTCGAGCAGTTTCGCGCTCATCGCCTCCCTGGGCATTGTCGCGGAAATGTGAACCCGCTCCACTTCATCGAGCGAGAGCCCTTCGCTGTCGCAGATGGTGTTGATGGAAGCTGTCGGTAAGGTTGCCCATTCGGTCAACAAGGGGATCACGGAGTTGGTACGAACGGAGTCGGAGACCTTTCCGCGGATGTTTAGCATCGGCAGTAGGCCGAGGCGGACACGCAATACCGGTGTAAATCTCGCGTGGCTGGCGAAAAACGCAAGGATTGAAGTCCTTGTCTGCATCTTGAACGTATTCTTCGGATGATTTTTCAGTTGTGTCCCTTCCAGGACATCGCGAAGAGCGGGAATGGCGAACTTTGAGTCCATGACGCATTCTTCGAGGATCGGCTGTAGCATCGAGGAAACAAACATGAGGACATCTTCAGGCTTGAGTTCTGCGAGATTCTTCGACTCTTTCCCATACAGATCGGACTTGCCCCAAGTTGGTGTTTTCGACTTGGCGGAAGCCTTTCGTGCCAGAGACCCAACGCATGCAGCCGCTGAACGTCGGATAATTGGCGATGCATCTGCAAGTGCGTGTACGAGGTATGGCAGGATGTTCTGCAAGACATGTGCAGCCTCAAGCTTTTCGAACGATGATGCGGCTGCACGGAGGGCGGCAACGCGAATGGCGACAGGTCGGGAGCTACTCCAGACGCGAGCGAGAAATGAAAGGTAGAGTGGCTGCTTGAGAGCGGGTTCTTGGTGCAATGCGTCCGAGGCGAGGAATCGCCGTGTTTGCGTAGTCGTCACAGCCTGCTCGAAAACGTTGGCCACTTCTGAAAACTCGGTCGCTGATCCGGCGTCGAGGAAGCTTTTTACAGTAAGCTCTGGGAGTTGTATGGCAGGCTTCTCGGCTGTGTCATCATCCGCATCAAGCATCTCCTCGTCAGAGTCCTCGCCCGGAATATCTTCAATTTCGAAGGTTTGGCCAACGGTAAGTCCCAGAGACTCCAGATTGACGTTGTGCTGCTTCGCCGCTTCTTGTAACGTTGCTTGTAGGTCTTTTGATTCAGCCATCTTAGTAGCGACTTGTAGCAGTTCTCCGTGCTCTTCGGAGCCCGGTGGACTGTCGCGGAGGAGTTGGACCAATGCCGATAGCACCATCTGAATGTGCGATGTGCCGAGGAGGCCTGAGGCGATTAGCTCATGGAAAACCCTGCAGTTCTCGTCGGAAGTATCGCTGAGGGCGCCAAGAGCACAGCCTAGAACAAGTCGTTGAACCTGGCATTGTTTTGACACTGTGGTCAGCTTCTGCACAAGCTGAGGAACCTTGAGTAATCTCCTCGATACTTTGGCTGGAACCTGCGCTTTGGAGCGCTCCATGGCGATGATGGCCAGACAGCCGAGGCATGATTGAAGGGAAGCTTCGTCGTATGCTACGATGACAGCCTCCATCAGCCCATCCAGAACCTTGTCGCCGACTTTTGCCTGGCTCACCATCATGATGACAATGGCGTAGCAAGCCAGAACCGTGTCAGCGCCGTGCTTGGCTCGCATGCAAGTATTGAGAACCGGGAGCAGTT